CGCTGGCTCGTGGCGCCTCGCTGGCAGATATCTGTAGGGCTGCGGGCTGGGCGACCCCCAACACGTTCGCTAGATTCTATAGCCTTCGTGTGGAGCCAGTATCCTCCTGTGTTCTCACCTCAAATGGGAAGAAGCACTGAGAGGCCCCGGTTAGTGTCGGCTTGCTGTAACTACTCCAGAGTGTCCATACTGTAGACCCTGTCGAGCTCCTCCATCCCCTCGGCAGCCAGACGTGGCGGAACGTACGGCGCCAGGCCCTCACTCGATGAATCCGTAAGAACTGGTAGAGGGCTGGGTTCCATATGTAGAGACCTAAGTGGATCCCATATGTGTAAAGTCCACGGTATAGCCTCAGAGCCCGTATTTCCCCGGCAGACTTCCTGCCAGTTCCAAGAGCATTACAATCACCTCTAATCTTCCTTATGCACCTAAACGGTTGTTCATATGTGTAAGTGCTTCCGAAACCTCCTTCGGGAAGGATGAGGCTTCCGCAACGTTCCTGTTCCGAGTGGAACGGGTGCGTTTTCCCAGTGTTATCCAATCTCACTGAGTGGGTAGTGCTACGCCAACAGTGACTGGCCTTCTTGTTGCAAGCCCCGGCCTATACCAAAAGGGGGCGCAGGAGGCTCGCACAGGACACTGGAAAGGGCAGCATTCATGGCGCTTTGGTAGGGATCCCAATTCGTCGGTCACCGTTGTGACGTCGAGAGTGACCGACTGAAAGGGAACGTCTCGGTTACGTATGTAACCCTCGTTCCCTGAAGGAGGGAACGGAGACGTCACGTCCCGTCGCCACGGCTGCTGTACCACCGCTGAGCGGCCGGGTTTCCGGCTCAGCTCCTCAGCGAAAACCTGGTATGTGTTGCACCTGCTGCCTTTTTATGCTCACACTGTGATCAGCGGCAGCTGGATGCAATCATCGCATGCCAATGTCCATTGGCTTGTTTAGTTTACACTCGAAGTAGATTGGTCTCTCTAAGCGAGATCCAAATTAGTCAAACGTGACGTCTCCGTTCCCTCCTTCAGGGAAAGAGGGTTACATACATAACGTTCTTTTGAACTTTCTATTTATCAAAGAACCCAAAACTATTAAAACGGTTTTCAACATTGATAGTAATAAGAAATGTTTCTTGAGCTGCTAATCAGCATATTAGAAAGCTTTCTGAAAGATCATGTGACACAGAAGAATCGAGTGATGCTGTTCATAATTAGGGTTGGGTACCGAAACCCGGTACCTATGTAACCGGTATGTTCTTTTTATTTATTATAAATAATGACCTTCTAACACTAGCATTATCTGTCCTTTTTCTGTTCTATTGAATTGTTTTATTTTAATTTTAAAATGACCCTCTAACACTAGCATTCCCTATTCTTTTTCTGTTCTTTCTACTTGTTTTCTTTTTATTTATTATAAAAACAAAATAAGCAAACAAACAAACAAAAAAAAACCTTGCTACGTATACTGTTAGGTGAAGCCCCGCCCACGAAGCCCGCCAATCCATAATTTTTTGGGGGAATTTTTATTTATTTATTTTTAATAAGTATCGGTTCAGGCACCGTTTAGGCACCAGAACTGTTTTAAAAGTATCGATTTGGCACCGGTATCGAAAAAAACCCAAACGATACCCAACCCTACTCATAATTCAGCTTTACCATCACAGGAATAAGTTCCATTTTAAAATATAATACAATAGAAAACAGTCACTGCAAATTGCAATAATATTTCACAATTATACTGTATTTTTGATCAAATAAACACAGCCTTTTTGAGCATTAGAGACATCTGTCCCAAAAAACCCCCCCAAAAAATCAAATACAAATACAAATTCCACTTTGAAAATTATCAGAGAAAACAACTAGAAAGTTCTTAATTAAAATGTATAATTAAATTTTATTTATTTATTTTTATTTTATTAAAACTATCACTTTCCCTAAAACCACTTGTCATCAGATCATAACTCATAGTTCATATAGATTATAGTTATAGTTCATAGTTTTTTAAAAAACATAATCATAAACATCTTTTATAAGGTTTTACGGCTGTGTCCCTAATTTTTGTTAATATCATTTGGCATTAGCAATAATAGTAGTAGTGATAAATCAGATGGCATTTTTGGCATGATGTTGTAAAAATGACACTGAAAAATTGTATATTCACAACATTAATTAAAACATATAGCATTTGTGTAATTTCTATTTCAATGTTTGTTATTTTTTTTACTTATTTAGAGAAACTCATTGCTGGGTATATTCCAGGTTAATGAATTGTGTCTACTGCTCTACCCACAATTCTCTCTTGCTCTGGGCTCATGTGGAATCTAAAGTGTGAGAGAGAGTGTTTTCTCAGAATAACAGAAGAGAGGCAGCCACACATAAACTCCCAACAGTTCAGCACATGCTTTTAGAGACGGAAACCCTGTTCCTTTCCTGAAGCTTTATTTTGGCCTGACCTGCTTTGAGTCAACATGAACAGGATGTGATTACTGCTGCATAAGAAAGGGAACGAGAACACTCAAGATGGAAGTTGTCATTTGAAAATGAGTTGTTTCAAATGACTCAACTGCATTCCAGATAATCTTTCCAACAATACTGCAATTTAACAATAATAAGAGTATTTACTAACAATTTGGGATTTTTATGTAATAAATAGATTTTTGATAACTTATGATTTACTGAAGTAAATGTCTACAATAAAACATTAATCACTGCACTTACAGTTAAACAAAATTATGTGTGTGTGTGAGTGCGCGCGCGTGTGTGTGTATGTATGTATATATCTATATACATATTTGGTAGCGCTGGGGGCTGGTGTGTGTTTGGTGTTTTGTGACTTTTCTTACTAAATACACAAAAAAGTGCAAAACTTTGACAACATTAGATTTCTTAGTGATTTGATATTTTATAATAATGATTTTATAATTTCAAAATATAAAGCAAAAAGTAGAAATTAATGACTAATGCTCCTCTGCTGCCATCTACTGGTTATAGTGGTAAATGTATGTCTTTTTTAAATTTTACATTAGTGTTTGTTTACCACAAAACTATATTTTGTTATATATTTTGTTTTGTCCCACTAAAAATAACATTTAAATTGGATCACTTTTAGAGCTTTAAAGTGCTGGAAATAGTTGTGTAGAATACTTGAATGCCATTGAAAAGTGCTTGAATTTCTCTCTCAAAAGTTTGTACATTAATTTCAGGGTTTGATGCAATAACATTAGACTATTTCTGCCACAACACCATGGTATAGGCTAGTTAGCGTTACTGCTGCTGATTTGAATGCTTCTCGCAGCAACCTTATTCATTCTGTAGTAAATTCAAATGCTTCTTACTGGATCTCGCAGCGCGTTGCAGTAACAGCATCGTGAAATCAACACTGGTTGACATGTAAAGGTCCTTGCATACTGAAGGTCCTTGCACACTGAGTCCGAAAATTTCGTATGCAGTTTTTTTTGTTTTTTTTTCCCGCATTTTTCATCATTTCCTATCAAATTGCTTGCTACGGATTTGAAAACACAGAAAATCAAACCTGATCCGAATTTTTTTTATGACGGACGAATGTTTTGGAGGCAGTGTGTAAATGTGATTGACACAACGTGAGGTTGTATTTCTTTTTTAATGTGCAAAATTTTCGGAAGAAAATTTCGGGCTCAGTGTCGTATGCGTTTTTTTTTTGTATTTGTCATCCTTTCCTCTCAAAATGCATGCTACGGACGCGAAAAACGCAGAAAACAAATCCCGATCTGAATTTTTTTATGACGGACAAAAGTTTCAGAGGAAATTTTCGGAGGCAGTGTATAAACATGATTGGCACAACATGAGGTTGTATTCATTTTTTTAATGTGCGAAAATTTCTGACTTAAGGTCATTGCACACTGAGTCCGAAATTTTTGCATGTTAAAAAAATAAATACGGCCTCACGTTGTGTCAATCACGTTTACACACTGCCTCAGAAAATTTCGTCCATCATAAAAAAATTCGGATCATTTCGATTTTCTGCATTTTCGCATCTGTAGCAAGCATTTTGATAGGAAAGGATGACGAATACGAAAAAGAAAAAAAAAACGCATACGAAAATTTTAGACCTTTAGTGTGCAAGGACCTTAAACCTGTTCTGATCAAAGGTCCGCGCAGCGCAGCTCAAACGAGTAGTGCGGTTTTGTTATGCTTTTGTTTCGTTTGCCATTTGAAGTTTCTCACATGCAACAGAAACGGCAGCATTTATGAGTTGGTCAACGCAGTGGTTGTGACAGTGCGAATGCTCACAAAATTTTGTCGCACCGATCAGAAAAAAATGTAAATTAAAAGCCCATTTGACAGGGTGGGGAAAAAAAAGGTGTTAATACAGACCAGTAGAAGTTAGAACAAACTAATATGACTTCAGAGTGAAGAACAGATCAAATATAATCACCTTCAGCGTGACACCCAGGACGTTAATGGCATCTTTGACCTGATGGTGAGTTTCTGTCTGTCTCAGCTCCTCACACACCCACAGCCCCAGACTGCAGACTGCTACACACCTAAAAGATGGTAAAACGCCGCCAGATCATCAGTGGCCCAACGGAGCAGCCATTCATATCATCAACAATGTAAAACACATCAGTGTGGTTGTAATCATGCATGACATTTGAATAGGAACAAAATAAAATATCAAAAATGAATGCAAGATCACTGTGCATAATAAGGCTCAGTGTCCTGGATTTATGTCAGTCAGGAGAACAGTGGGTAAGGAATGATCTGGTTGTGCAGTACCTGGCTCCTTCACATGTCTCATTGCGCGCGGTCTTCAAAAGGATGTTCACAAGGTAGTCCTACAGACAAAAAGCATGACAAAGATTTAATGCTAATACATTTGGCAACATTTTAAGGCTTACAGATGATTCAAGGTTCAGTTTTGTGGTCATGTGAGCATGGTTTACATATTTGTACACCATATTGAAACCTCTTGAGTAAAATAAATTTGTAAAGCACTTTTCACACACCATTTCAAAGCAGGCATAAATAAATTCATACTGATTTTGGCAACAATATAAAGCCAGTTGAGCAATGCGACTACGAAGATGCTAGAGACACTTAAATGATGACTGAAGGATTATAATTACTTTTCAGTCAAACTTTGAATATACTAAGTGTGTCCCACCATGTACTATTATTTATCTATTTATTTGGTACATGAATATTGTTGGTTTCAATATTATATGAAAGTTGGAAAAAAAAATTTGAGATGATTTTTCTAGGATTTTTTCTCTCGACAGCTCATAATATGTTTGTTGCAGTGAGAGTGAGAATTATGAAATATGTTGCAGTAACGAACATAATTCAGCAAGAATTACCATTAGGTGGTGTGTATCATTGCTGTGATTAAATGACACATATCATGGTTTAAGATTTTGGTCATATCATCCACCTGCAAGCATTTTCACAGAGAAGTCAAATGAAAGTCAAGCCATAACACTGTCATCAGTCCATATGACTTATCTTCTGAAGTCATTCCACACCTTTGTTTGAGGACAGTCATTGGTAACTAAACATCTTGACATGAAGAAAGTAAGTCATAAGGTTTGAAATGACAGAATTAATTAAATCTGTTAAATAACACCAAGCCTTCTCTATCTGTGGATTATCTTTAGCATTTGCCATTTTTGAGTTTCACAGCAGAATGTGCAACCTGTGACGCCATTATGAAATTAACGCACTAACTCTAACAACTGAATCTAACAGCTAATCTCCACTATAAAAGCGTCATTAGATATTAGGGATGCTCCGATCAGGATTTTTGCAGCCGATACTGAGTACCGATTTCTTGTGATGGTGATCGGCCGATACCGTTGCCGATTCTGATGCTTCAAGCTTTATATAGACGTTTCATCTGGCGCAAGCGCCTGGCCCGAAGTTAACTTCCGGTCTGTGTTTGTTTATCAGTCTGGCTATGGCGCCGGCTACAAACGCAGTTAAAGTTAAGGTGATGAGTAGACTGAAGTTGGGCTCAGGTGGTTGTCCTATGGGATGTGTTTCCCATACATTTATTTATTTGTGGCGCTAGCCACAATATCAAAACTGACGGATTTTCCAAAAGGCTTCGTTGAATAAACATGAGCACGTACAAAAATCTAAACGAGGCGTGGGTGTTTTTGTATCACTGTATTTCTGAAGGAAGACTATCTTTAGAAAATTTTCGATGTCATTTTCATTCATCTTGCATGTTATACGCCTCATAAAGCAGCGTTTGTGAGCTCAGCGCAGTTTTGTGTACACAACCGTTACTGGGGAAACCTCTGTTTCGCCCACTTTAAAGCACCTCCAGCTAGCAGAGAATGAATTTGCATTTTCGGTAAGTCCGTCTGATTTACGCAGCAAACGGGTCGGGTAATAAAAAATGCATTCTGATTATTTGCGGGTGGATAAAATAAATCATAAATAATGCAAATATTAACTACATTTTTTAAATAAATTTTTTTCCATGAGGCAGACAATTTCGTGTGTGTGTTGTGTGTGTTCGTTCGCCTGATCGGGACGTTGCAGTGACAGAAACGGTGACATTCCAGATAAAGTTTGAAAGGAGTAAAGCATGTGTTAAATCTATTGAGTAGGCTAATATGGCCAAAGAAGATATTTTGTTTTATAAATAAACGTTCATTTAAAAGCAGCCCACGATCAGCGT